TTAGGGAGCAATTAAATGTGCAGTTATGTTGGCAGATCTGAGGGGGCAGCTGGATCAGAAGCAACACATCTGACCATGCTCTAAATAAACATCTGTCCAAAGCCTTAGTCAAACAGATGTGGAGAAAAAAGTGTACCTAATAAGTCTTGAAGTGAAAATATAATTTACAAGAAACTTCATGTATCAAATTTTCTTTTAAGAGATGCAATCACTAATTTATGAGATTATAATTTTCTACAGTCATACATGAAATATCCAGTAGATACTTCAGGAAACCAGGATATACTTTTAATGGATAGACCCACACAGGCAAGTATTTTGTGTTCTGTCAGGACACCGCCAGCTCCACGGGGCTGTGAACTGCTTGCACCAACTTGAACCAAGTCCATTCTATCAGATCCGCATATTGCTACTATTGAGAACTGAAAACTTCTAGTTTCAAACTGCAATTTTACATATGTTTTAAAGCAGATAACAGCAATGCTACAAAAGAAATGAGTATTTATTATCCTGAAACCCTAACTGCTTTTTTTCTAAGCCCATTTCTTGTTCTGGTACATGTAAGAATTGATATAGGTTATATGATGGGGGGGTGCTGAAACTGCTCTGGGGCCACTTCACCACAGGATAACACAAATGCTGATGATGGCAAAAGGGGAGAGAAGGCGCAGAGGCAGGAATGAGCAACCAGAAGTACAAGTCAGTCAAACGTGCTTCATTGAGCAGCAGTGCTGGGCTAAACTGTACGTGAAGCTGCCTCTTCAGTCTAACTTCTGGAAAAAGATTATTTAAAATCCAGATGACGTACAAAACTGCAAACCACACTGGTTTGCAGGAGAAACAGGATTTATACTCTTCATTCAATTATTGCTCTTGTGCAGATTATCTTAAGATGCATAAAGGCATGAAGTAATCAAAAAGCATTTCCTTATTCCTTTCTGATGTTCAACAACACTTCAGAGAAATTTAATCATCTCCTCTGTTTCAAAAACCAAAGTAAATGTATAAAAATTTTAATATTCTCTTTAGAAATTGAGAAGTTCATTGCAGACTTGACTGATAAAACTCTGTGTTAGACATACATATATATATACACACACTCACACATTGCGTGACTGTGTTGCAGAGCTGAACACTGAAAATTGGCAATTGAGCATGACCATAAAGAACGGAGATTTTCCCAACTAGTACCTACCTCAGTTATCCCCCAAACACTTTTTGATTTGATTTATGTTCTGCTGCTTTAAAAGAAGAAATGGGCCAATATGAAATAATGCAGATACTTGTATAGTGGATATTTATATCCAAAATAAACTTTCTCTTGGGAGAATATTTTTAAAGCAGCATTTCAAGTCTCCTGGCAATGGTTAGAAAAGTTATTTATTTATTTAGAATAAGAGTTCTCAGAAATTTTTTAACCACCAACATTTAGGATGCTGGGACTAAGCTTAGCAATTCAAGTTTCTCTCTTTCCTCCAAATTACTTTTCATTGCATATAACATTTAGTATTCATACATGCAGAGGAATGCATAGTATGCATTAAGGCAGAGAAAATTATATTTAAGAAATGTATGGGCTATTTTACAAGAGACAATATGTATGCACAAAGCAATTTGACTTACTACATGCTGTTGAGTCTAATCAGCCTAAAAACAAAACACATTGCCTTGTCCGATTAGACTTTTCATCTTGCACCTAAATTTTTAATATTTGGCATACTAATATCAACAATTTATGATTTGCATTTTCTCCAACAATGAAGTAAGAAACACTGAATAAATACTGTTTTCCCTCAAGGTATGTAGTACTTCTGTTATACAGACTGTGAAATGGAAAAACATACACAGAGGCTGAATATGGTCTGTGACTCCTAATTTTTTCATTAAATGTAAAGACCTCTTTGCAATGATGCATCTGAAGCTTCATTCTAACTAATAGACTGAAGCCCACCATTTTAGATTCAACCACAGATTTTTTAAGGAAGTGGCAAACCATTGCTGCTAGTTGAGAAAATGAAAATTAGTCCCTGGGAGAGGATACAATCAATGGTGTGTTAATCTAACCTTCAGCTGTTAATGATTTGCACTACTATTTCCCCTGATGCTGTGGGTTCTGCTGAAATATTGTTTTAGCAGTTTCTGTCCGCTTTTCCTACAGCTTTCCCTACCTTTTTTCTGCCTGAAAGGGAAAGACTGAAGTGAAAGTCTTAGCAACAGATTTTTCATGTGCCTTTTTTATTTTCTTTCTTTTTTTTTTTTCCTGACCCAGTTCTTTCACACCATGGAAGAGAAGACAGAAGGGTAAACTGTTCTGTTTTCTCAGTTCAAGCCTTTTTAGCCAGTCTATTATGCACAACCCCTTTTACTTACAAAAGAGGTGTCACGCTAGCCAGTCACCATTATAATTCTGATATTGACATGCGATTAAATAATTTCAAAAGTCTGTATTTTTCCTGCTTCTTTCACATTCAGCCAGAAAGTTAAAAGCTTTGCAGAATTCTTTTTTGGAAAGAACTGCTGAGGAGGGTCTTGTATTTCCAGCCATGAGAGCTGCACAAGTGACCTAGAAGAGACTGCTTGTGTTGGTGTAGCAATGCATAAGTGTACCAATCCTGCAGATTTGCCTGATCCTGTGAAGTTTGTTTCCTTTAGGATCATTTGGTTCACTCAGTTGTAACAACCTTGCAAAATAATTCTTAACCGAAAGAAAACTGCATAGCCCGCAAGCCAAATTCTGCAGCGACGTACTGAGTGCCAAAATAATAAAAGTACTCAGCACCTTGCAAAGCTGCGCTCCACACACGCAATGCTAGTTTTCTTAGCAAGCATTTCTTCCAGGAATAAGTGCATCTGAAGCATTTTAGTATTCTTAAAATGAAGCCAATAAGGCCTCACAAAACTATTCAAACTTACTTTACATGTATCTCAGTCCCCTTGACTAACTTAATCAGTCCTGAATATTTCAGCTTAAAAAAAATAAGTATTTAGCATGTTAAACCTGTGATGTGTATGACTGTCTAAAAAATTTGGTTAAGTTGAAGAAGTGACATTTGAACTATTTCAATTTTAGCTACAGACAAACTAGAGTAAGTCTTTATCAGGTTTGTGTGCTGATGCACAAAAGTCTAAAAATATAATATATATAACATATGTATAACTATAATATATAAAATATAATGAAAGATTGAATGTTTCTCCTTCAAGATCATGCTCACAAGTCATATTAAAAGCAACAAAATGGTTTGAATATAGGTTGTACACTAGCTGGAAAAATAGCTTCAGAAAATTCTCAACTAACTTTACTTTATGTTTTAATATTTCTCATGCTAAAGCTCCTGCCTCTTATTTGCAGATATAGGAGTTTTGTAGAGTGTCTCTACGTGACATTATCTACCAAATTCCTTAAAAGGCCTCATCCACAATATTTACTACTGATAACTAAGATAATCCATCACAAATTGTCTTTGTACCTACTTTAAAAGCAAAGACATAGACTTTGTCAAAAATTTTCTTGATTAGAAAGGTTTGGATTGTTTGGTTTTTGTTTTTTTTTAAATCAAGTAAATGTCAAATGTTCAATAGATTACAAAGTGGGTGATTTACACATTTCAGAAAATGGGTGCTACTCGCCAGAAGGGATAAGTTTTTTTGTTGCTGTGCTCTTTTAATGTATTTTATGAATAACCTGGATTGAAAGAGAAGATTTCTAGTAAAATTTCCAATGACAAAAAAAACAGGGATCTCTAAGTAACAAAGACAACATTTCATGGAGTCAAACTATTTCAGGACAAACGAATGTATAATCCATGTATTTCTATGTGGCCAAATATAAGAACACATTGCCTATGAATGAGGAATGTAAGCCACAGAATCTATGAAAAATATTTAAGGATGAAGGATGGCTCAAAGGACCTGGGATATATAAAGGGAGGAACAACAAGTAGAAATAGAGAACAAATGATTTCATTATTTGGCACTGATGTAGTAATTTCTGAAATACAGAGTGCACTTGAGACATCCACACTAAGAAGGCTGAAAAACTGCAGAGGTCTCAGAAAAAGGACTGTGGGAATAATTGAAAGACTTGAAAATACACCATATAGTCAAATTCAAATAATAGAAACTTTTCTTCATGTAATGAAGAGATTATATGCAATTCGATGGTAATCTGTAAATTCATATGTGGGGAATAGAAAAGTAATCCCATTCTAACAGAAAAGATGTAATAAAATCTATCATCTGGAACCTCATATCATGTAAAGGCAGATCTAAAACATGATATTCCTTAGAAGTAATTAGAGCTCCTGAAAAACACTTAGAGCAATTCATATAAAAAATTTGCTGGATTCCCTGTTATTGGATATTCAGTAATCCACAGTGGATATTTCTTTAAAATACAACTCTGTTCACTGTGAATTAATTCAGGGAAATCTTATGGCCTTTACATGGGAGAGTAGATTAGATGATCTGTTTGCAACAATTCTCTCAGGCATTAAAATTCACTGAAGTCAAACAAGATTATGACTGAGTTCAAAGAACTTTGGATCACATGCATGTTCACAAGTCTACCACTCCGGGTATATGCACACAATTTTATTTTTAAAGGCTAATGGAATTAATGGCCATGTTTTAGTTTGATGGTTTTTGTTTTGTTTTCTTCTTTCTGAAGTTTAATGAAACAAAACTCAGATCTTAACATACAGTCTAACATAAGATATAGGCAAATCAGCTGAAGTCCCAGAATCAGCAAAAGGTAACAGACAAGATCAAAATAGATGAATATAATTGGAGCTGGAAAATATCCTGCAAGTATCATATTTACCCTTATAGATTAAAAAAGACATTTACACTCTTTACACAACTTCATTTTAGCAAAATAAGATCCAGATGCCTTGTTTAATCATTTTTGGGTTATCAATAACAACTTCAACATATAATTCTCTTTTCTTCCTTCTTAGTGATTAAAAACAACCTTAAGCTAATATAACACATATACTTACTCTGGTAGTCGAGACAGGATACCTAAAGAAAGAGAACTTATGCCATCATTGATCCGACCCGACAGCTTACGCTTCTGAACCCAGCTGACAACAAACTCCAGTCCAATAAAAGCAATGAAGAACGGAATACTCTGAAAAAGAGTTTGAAGAAAGCAAATCACAACATACATAGAATTAGATCCACCTCTCCTAACAGCAATTTATGTAGCCAGATAATACTTCTCTGGTTCGCTGGCACCTTACTAGCTACTACTGTGATAAAGCTCCACATAGACCTAACAAATCAGAACCACCAAGGCTACCATTTAATCCACAACACCAGCATAAATCCAGTGTGCTAGCCTCCTCCCATATTTTATTTTGCATCTTCTGCACATAAATTGTTAAATGGAATCAAAACAAAACACAAAAGTCTTTCCAAACTCATATTTCTCATATTCAAGTAAATCAGTGAGAGCAGCAACATTTGTGGACTCCTCTAACCACATGGTAAAATAGAATCTGCTTTCAATTTGATATGTAAGCGGTTTTTGAATGTGTTCAGCCACTGAATTTGGCATCCAACAATATTATCTGAAAGACATATTAAAGAGTTTCTTTCTACTCAGCATTTGTTGCCATGCTTTTTGCTGCAGATAGATAGTTCTTCTGTATCCATTTTCATCAGAGAACCCAGTAACCATGCAGCCCACTCCAATTTGGGCCATACATGTTCTTTTATTCAGACCAAGTAGCAGTGATAGAATGTTCCCTTTTTTCTTTTGGGTTGTACTAACTAATTTTCTGCCTTTATGAAAAGTATATCGATGAGTGAGACTGAAACATTTCTCACTCACAACACTGCTTCAGTTTAGGATTCAATTCACACTGCCCATCTTGCGTCCCAAATCGACGGACAAGTTGAAGATGCACAACAGCAACCAGTAAGGAAAGGTATGGCTGTAACTAGTGGTAGGACATTGTGACCAGACCATGATTCTTCAGTGGTGAAAGACTGTTACAGCTACGCTCAAATTTTCATCAGCATAGGCAAGAAGAAAGGATTGAACAACAATAATGGATAGAGCATATGCTTTTTTTTTTACTGACACTGGACTCCTAACAGTACCTGCACTTTTTGAGTGGAAGAAATTATGAGGTTGTGACAGCGTATCAGCCACCACCACCAAAATCTAGAAGGCCTGTGGCAAGGAAAATAGGAAGCAGCTATTTTATTTGCATCAGATCTCTGTACACACAAATGTTACTTCAACTGCCTCCCTCACTCTGTAGAAAACTTTTAGGTGACCTTGGAGACATTCAGACAACTCCTTCTCAGTGGTATTAAGGCATAAAATTTCTACCATGTTTTGCAGCATTGAAGAAATGCAAGGCCAGTGAGACCTTCTGCACCATTATGGAGGCATCACACTGCCCAACTTGCCCCATTAGTCTTCTTTTGCTGCCCCCTTCAAGTGACCTGCAAACACATACAGATCCACAGACTGAAACCCTCCAAACTGCACGGCTGTAGAAGAGAGGCTGCTTCTGCCTCTACAACATTTTAATGGAAGAAGCATGTTGCCTCTGCAAATGCCATTGCATTTTGGAGGGTGCTCATTTTTGTTGCCAAGTGAGATATGATCCGGGAATTCCTACCAGGCTGGGACACTAAAGAGACTAAGATGGATATAGACCAGATGATTGCTCAGTCAAAGAAGAATGGGATGATTCAAACCATGCAAGCTGCAAGAGATTTATAGTGTCTAGGAAATGTGAAAGTTCATAAACTTCAGCAGCTCGGGGTTAAGTTACAGTAACAGATGAACAGAGATTAATATCAATATGGCACTTTTTAATTTAGAAGCCTCGCTTGCTCTTTAACAGCATTTTAGGTATCTAAAAGCCTGTTTGGGATACACACTGACTGATGATACAAAAAACCTTGAAAGGAAAGGAAGACCTATGGATATATTATGAGCAGAACCCAAGAAAATTAAAGTGGTAAATCTTTGGATATTTGAAATCAATAATAAATAAATAAACAAACAAACTCCACAACTTTCCATTTGAAATCATTGAAACATCCTAGGGAAATATAAATACTCCTTGTTTTGCTACTTAAGACTTACTTAAGTACTTACATTACTTAAGTAACGTAAGATTACATTACTTTTAATGTAATTTTCTTAATTGATATAATTAAAAACCAGATTCCTAACTTATCAAACAAAGGTTGATAATAAGCCAGGTGACCACAGCTGTACATTCCAGCAGAGATAAAAAGGGTATTATTGAGAACAACTAAGAAACACTTGACCACAATATTAGGAGCCAGCTCGCACAGGCTACAGGCAGATTAAAGTTATGGAACAGCAGAAGCTGCACAGCAAATTGAATGGGCTCAGGGCAGAAAAAGGGGGATGCTTTATTCATGAAATGAAAATAGCAAATAGCAAATATGATGCCTGTATTCTGTGTGGCAATTCATTTTACCTAGCAACCTCTGAAACGGTTAAAATACTTGACTTTATACTAATATGCACTAATATAACTTCTTTCCCATTGACTTCATTAAATATTTTCTTCCCGCTGTGAAGCTGTGAGACAGTCAAGCATTTGACAGCACTTTTTGACTCACAAATAGGGAGTGTCATAGCAAGGAGGACAGAGAAACATTCAGACAGTCTTAACCTCCTGCCCATCAAGGAGCTTGAAAAAGGAAAGATTCATGGCATACTTCTTAGTATCTAAGAAATTACTACCTCTGTCCCACACACCCACATTAAGTTTTGTCCAAAGCAGATCAAAGGGATCAGCTATGTCAAGACTACTACGTATTATTTATGTGACCGTAACACCTAACAGCTATTGTCATGGAGCACGATTGTAACATGTTAGATGCCATACAAACAGAAGGAAAAGGCATTCCCTGTCCCAAACAGCCTATGGTCTACGGATGAGTTGTAAGATGGCAGAAGGATAATTCAAATAATAATTCAGGAAAAAAAAGGGACAGCCAGTGAGACAGACAATAGTCTCACTAGCCTAACCATACATTCCCCACCCCCACCTCTTTTTAAGTTAAAGTGACAATGAAGACATGTAAGGAACCTGTTGAGGATAGGTAGGTCTGCAAAAGTTTAAGGATTTCCCCTACAAACAAAACAGTACAAAGTTAAGAAATAGCCATTGTTGGTATCACAGGTCAGAGACTGAAGCTGGATCCTTTTGATATCTTCTGGCCTACAAATGTTTTACTGTCTCTGTTTCCAGTTTCTTTCTCTTCACCCATCCCAGAAATACTTAACGGAGATTTACTTAAGGGAGATTTGCATTAGCTTGTGGTTTACTTGAATAACTGATCCATAACTTGAAACTCTTACACTGAGTAGGAAGAGTTCCCTTCTACGTAACCAGCTCTTAAGAGAATGCAAAGGAACATTTAAAATCAGTTTCTGCTTTATACAGTTGCAAAAAATAATATTCTACGTTAAAACTCAGCATAAATTCATGGTTTTATTGCAAGTTTTGAAACAGTTTCTGTTTTCTTAAAGTCCCAGAACCTTATAACATAAGAATCTCAACTTTCATGTAAAACTAAATATGAAGGTCCTGTGCCTCATTATTTAGAAGCAAAGCCTAAAATGTGAATTGAGTGTAAATGTGAACTTAATCTTTACGCTCTCAAAAGTGGAGAGTAAATAGAAAAGAAAAATAGTGATTATTAAACTTAAAGCTTTAATTTTGGGGCTCTCAGCAGAAGGAAAAGCGTGCTCTCTCCCCGAGTCTGACTCATGAAACTCTTTACTGAGCATAACTGATAATTTCAGAACATAGGAAGGAGAAGAGTGAAGTTGGTTTTGTTGTTCATGAAAACTATATTTGGCAAGCAAAAAGCAGCACTCCATCTGCCTATCTGTAGGTTATGAGAGAATAAAAAAAAAAAAAAAGAGCATGCAGGGCATAATCTTATATCCATAGCAAAAAGGATACTTGTGAAAGGACAGGGCAAGCATCTGTATACACTGCAAGAGTCAGGATGATCTGCTCTGGAGAAAGAAAATTGACTTATACTTTCTCTCCTTTTCCTAGAATTAAGGGAAAAATCAAGGGTTTCAAATTCTACATGACAAAATTTCATGTAAAAATAAATTCTATGATTTCCCAGGCCACTCGCCATCATATCTGAGAAGTCGAGGCAGTCCGGCGAAGTTCCCACCCACTGGAAAAGGGGAAACATAACCCCCATTTTTAAGAAGAGAAAAAGGGAAGGCCCAGGGATCTACAGGCCGGTCAGTCTCACCTCCGTGCCCAGCAAGATCATGGAGCAGATCCTCCTGGAGACTATGCTCAGGCACATGGAAAATAAGGAGGTGATTGGTGACAGCCAACATGGCTTCACTAAGTGCACATCGTGCCTGACAAATTTGGTGGCCTTCTATGATGGGGTTACAGCGCCGGTGGAGAAAGGAAGAGCAACTGACATCATCTACCTGGACTTGTGCAAAGCATTTGACACTGTCCCGCATGACATCCTTGTCTCTAAATTGGAGAGACATGGATTCGATGGATGGACCACTCGGTGGATAAGGAATTGGCTGGATGGTCACACTCAAAGAGTTGTGGTCAACAGCTCAATGTCCAAGTGGAGAATGGCGACGAGTGGTGTTCCTCAGGGCTCGGTACTGGGACCAGCACTGTTTAACATCTTCATTGGTGACATGGATAGCAGGGTCAAGTGCACCCTCAGCAAGTTTGCCAATGACACCAAGCTGCATGGTGTGGTCTACACACTGGAGGAAAGGGATGCCATCCAGAGGGACCTTGACAGGCTGGAGAGGTGGGCCCATGTGAACAGGCCCAAGTTCAACAAGGCCAAGTTGCAAGGTCCTGCATGTGCGTTGGCGCAATCCCAAGCACCACTATAGGCTGGGCAAAGAATGGATTGAAAGCAGCCCCGAGAAGAAGGACTTGGGGGTATTGATTGATGAGAAGCTCAACATGAGCCAGCAGTGTGCGCTTGCAGCCCAGAAAGCCAACCATGTCCTGGGCTGCATCAAAAAAGGTGTGACCAGCAGGTCGAGGGAGGTGATCCTGCCCCTCTACTCTGCTCTTGTGAGACCCCACCTGGAGTACTGCGTCCAGGTCT